GATCGAAACCAAGATCTTCGGTCTCGCGTTTGGATGCTTAATCTCTTGATCAGTGAGTCGGTATCCGGCGATAATAATGTCTCACTTGGTACTGATAGTACGGCTTTATGAGCGAAATCTTTGTTTTGAATTCTGGTTTTTCGCTAGCAACTCCTTCGTTTGGTCAGATATTTTTGTAGAATGACTATTAATATAGTTGATTTTGAGTACAAATTATTGCATACAATTAACATAGGTTTGAAGAAAGTTAGGGGCGGCCAAACCAAAACATGGAACAAGTCCATGAAGTCATTGACGAGTGGACTGAGCCGCGTCGGTAGTTGTCGACTACTTGGTTGGGGTCCGCGAGATGATAATAATCGATGGTTAGAGACCCTGAATGACATGGCTCAAAATCGTTCGCAATGGCGCCGGTGCATTTATTCTTTATGTTCTCTCAAATTCTAATCTTCTGGATTCTTCAACACCTCTAGTTTTTACTTTCTAAACTTATCTCACTGAATCATACTTCGTGAATAATATCTTCTAATCCTAACCTCTCCGATTACTTCTAATACCTTTACTACCTCTTCTACTATTGGATTTGAATCGATATTTATATCTCTGTGCTGATGTGGTATGGCAACATGAACTGATGTACATACGTACAAAGTTCTACGTTGCATCTGACTGACTGACATACACTTAACATACAATTGTGAAGAAACATTACTACTTATCTATAGCAACGAATATTTTTACGCTTTTATGTGATTTATCCTGATTTATCCACAAATGAATTATTCTAATCTTTCCAGTCATTCTATAATTTTTGAGTGACTTTGAACACTGACATATGAAAGTGCTATATGTCTATATACTCTTTTATCTGTTTCCTGCTTATAAAGTACTCAGTCATTTATCATTCACTCCTTATTTCTGTTTATATTTCATGGTAACAAATGATTGAAATATATTTATTCAAAAACATTTTGACTTGTATTGTTTCACTATTCACGAGCTACAAAAGAAATATTGGCAGTAAGATGAAAATCTCTCCGTTTAACCGGTTACAATAAAAACCAGATGCGCTTCTTGGATTCTACCACAAATTCGAATATTAAAATTTAAATCTTATTAATTCGAAATTGTTGTACATCGTAATGTGGGTTTAGTAATAGCCTACAATTTTACGGATCTGCAAGACAGTGATTGAGCTACTGTAATACGATCAGTTCTGTTGAATTAGGTAATGGTAATTTACTCACGACACGTCAACACCCATCAGCTAAACACAAGGAAGCAGGTTTGCAAGGAACTTAATATTGGAGGATAGAACAAGCAAGAAAACCGAAATTGGTACGACTTTTTGTAACCGAAATAAGAGAGATGACCTTCTAGCATACAGTAAGATTAGCGAACTGAAAAACAATAACAACCAATCGGAAAACATAGGTGATGCGAGAAATTAATTTAGGAAAAAAACAAGCGGACAGATATTGTTTTTGCACATTGATATCATGAATCAATCACTGTTAGACCACCATTAGAAACTTGGAAGCACTGGATGAACATTTCATTCTGGTAAGGGGACTCATCAGCAGTACGCATCCACGACTGCTGCACCTAGCAGGATTCGAACCCGGGACCTTCGGCCTTGAGCGTGAACGCCTAACTTCTGGACCATTTGACCAGCATCCAGCGGTATTATTATCTAACTCTGATCAATCTAGAGATTTTGTGCAACCTCAACCATTTGTTTTCGGTAGTTACTGCCTACACTCAACATGGTTGAACTGCACTAGTCACGTCACGTCATCGTTTTCTAAAAGAATTTCAGCCATACTGTTGAAATTAAATTTTCCTTGTGATCTTCTCAGTAGAAATAGATATAACATGAATATTTAAATCTTTTTTATTCAATCTATACTGCAAAATTTATTTCTCAGCGTCATGAATTAAGTAAGAGACATAAAATAACAACATGTGATGTGTATCGTAAACAGCTGTATTTTGAGTTGTATATACGTTTGAATGTTTGAGTGTTTTAAATACAATGAAGAAGGTTGATCCTATGTCTTTTCAAACAAAACTCTTTCAAAATAAGCTGTTTTTTTTAAAAAGATATCAATCAGATTAATTAATATTTTAGCATTTAAATTTTTTGCACGAAGCAAATGTTATTTGACTGATGTATAAGTTGTATTTTTGTTTGACAACCTCTATAGCTTAGTCATTATTGATGAATGTGACATTGAATGTGATATTTTAAAAGTTATCGACATTCAACAGTCGATCAAACCACTAAGTTGTGAACATATGAATATACAATTTTACAATTTTCGAGATTCTCAGTTCAAATCAATAACATTGAATTAGAGGCCTAGTTGAATTTTATACCTAACTAATCCTTGAAAAATTTCTATAATTATTTTATGACTGTAACAAACATTTTCATAATTTATTATAAAATAGATTTAAAATTGAGCACAATTATTTGTTCTACTTAGCATGGATTAACATGCACACTCCGTCTGGAGCCCCTTTGGAGCTACTGCCTCTCCCAAGCCCCGGATAAAGCAGGCGTGTTGGGCGTGTCGGTGTTGGTGATCTCATTCCTTAGAAAACTAACTTGTTATAAAAAATGCTAACCAGAAAAAGAGATAAGATCCTTATTCCTTTTATTTCTGCTAAGAAGTCAACAATATTTTATGTAAGAAACAATCAATAATAGTGTGATTAGCAATGTATGCATTTTTTGCAGTCCATAGTCACATGACTAACTTGATTAAAAACACAAATCCATCATACAACACTTACTCATTCATGATAATCAATCAGTCAATCAAATAGAAATCCTATTCTCTAATTCATCAAACGTTTTTATAAATAAGTTCTCTCATGTAAAGAAACATCCATTCAAACTGATGGATTGACTATGTTGAAGTTCCTATCAAATAAAATGATTGTAATGCTGTTTCGATTACAAATTGTTGGGTATGTTAGATCCCCAGAACTCGCTTGATAAATGCATTATTTTGCATTTCACGTTTGCGAACATGGACTGATCAGCTGACCTTGAGATTTCATTTCCCACCAGCAAAAGCCTTAACTGTGATTGGCTGCTGCGTATTTTAGTGTGCTATGTTTGTGACTGTCCCAAGGACATTTCTATGATGTATAAATAAACGAGATTTGTGTGTTTGATTGTATTGTGCTTGCTGGGTGTTTTTAGAATATACTTTCTACGCTACATTAAGACCTCTGTTTAGCCGTTTCGAGTCAACGGATCAAGTTAGCCTACCTGTTCACTGGTTCATTGTCTCATTCTAGTTTATCGACTAAGGTGAACCGTAATAGTTTCAAGCATACTAAGTGACGAACCTAACATTCATGATGACTGATCCGTATTAAATAAACTCAACAATAGACAATTATGATTCACAATCGAATAAAGCACATGTCAGAATAAATTTAATAGATATCAAACAAATTCAACATTCAATAGTTCTCATATAAACAGCAAAAGATAGTATATTCCAACGTTTTTATTTGAGGTTCTCCGCAACAGTTTCAGTCAGTCTTCACTGTGTTTTATCGTACTCAACACTTTCAGTTAGTTTTCCGTTAATTTATTCGGCAACTACTTCATGCTACAGTATAATTTCCAATAGTCTTTATTTTGAGCTCTAGCCTTTACTATATTTGTATTGAGTCAACAACTATGTCAAGCCAATGTACATTGATGATATGTTTGTATCACACTGTTTTGGATATGAACTGTTTTGTAATGTGCACAACTCATTCATTAAATAAACAGAAAAGTGACGAAAATTGATGGAAACAATGCAAATATTGAACATTGATCAGATTGCTGCTTAATCTCGATTACAGTGTTTTGTTTATTCAAGTATTCAAAACAATGATGTGGCTCAAGTTCAAAAAGGTAAAGATCATTTAACCAGAGAAGAACCTACATTGTAATTTTTGAATTCATGTAGTTTGTAAAAGCCTTTGTTTAAATTGTAAAAAGTAGAACAAGAATTGTTATTCTCTCACTACATTAATAAATAGTATTTCGTAGATTAACATTACACAACTTATTACTAGTGACAAAGATGAATTCATTCCTACCAGCACACTTTCATGCTTTCATATATACAGAAATGTATTCAGTATGATGATTCAAGCGAAAGAAAGTGATTGCATATTTTATCGTAATCAATAACTGGTAATTGATGCACAAAATATAACTGAAACAACAAATGAACTCAGAATTTTTATGTTTAATCATCGAAATCGGCATGTGAACAGCTATTGTAGTGAAGGAGAACACAGGTGAGGGCAACCGAATGGTATTTAACGAAAATTACAGAGTTACTCAGTAAAATAGGATAACCATATCGTAACTGGTAATTTGCAAATCTTCAATCCATCATCAATCCATTGTCAGACATTTCACTATTCATGGGTTTCATACAAATTCCATTGTGTTCCCACTCTTCCTTTCTTGATCTTCCCCCTTCTTCTGCTGCCAGGCATTATTTTTACACTCGCGTCATATACTACTTATAAGTAGCGCGCACCACACTATCAGTGGAAAACTATAATAACTGTCTTATATAATAATGGTCAAGTGATTGCTTATTGACTCCAACATTGAAATCAATTGATGAGTCTGATCACAAAATCGATTGTTCATGCAACCTATTTCTTTATCAACACTAATCGATTGACACTATGGAATCATACACTCCTACACATAAATATATATTTATATATATATAGAGAATTAATAAATAACACTCTCCAAATCACGTACTCCATTCTCTGCCTTGACATTGAATTAAAATTTTCACATGCTAAATCTATAGCTTTTGAATACAAATCATTGAATTCTGATCAGTTAAAGCCATTTCACTTGAAAAATAACATTACTTTGAATGAAACTGTGAATCTATACGTATTTAGGAATACAATTTTGTATATAACACACAATCTGTATATACTCACTACAATAAATGTCTGAGACAATAGGCATTATTCACAAAGTATGTCGTATTTCAAAACGATTAGATGGAAAATTGGTTATTGTCACTGGATCGAATACTGGGATCGGTTTAGCTACAGCCGGTGAATTAGCTCGTCGTGGTGCACAAGTCATCATGGCATGTAGGAATTTACGAAAAGCCGAAGATGCCAAAAAACGTTTATTGGAGAGATATGGAGTTGATAATCCTCAGAGTGTTAACATTGATGTAGCATGTAGAGAGGTGATTTCATCATTGAGTCCAATCAACAGTAATCAAGTAAGTTCAATTATTTTTCCAATTGAATTGTTTGAATATGTACTGCGTCGTTAGTTGTTAGTTGATGCCAGTGGTGAAGTATGATATTTTCGTCTGAATGATTTCCAACAAATATTATGTCAGTTGAGCACACATACTGACTTCTTCATCACTTCACTGATGGAACCCCGGACATCATGGGGGGTCCACATGCTTGACTATCAGTTTGTGTTATTATAACATTTAGTATTTAGAGAGGTATTATTCTAGGAAACCGCCAATTTAGTCAAAACAAAATGATTTAGTTTCCTCTATCACATGCCCACTGTCGACCAAGTGTGATGAAATGGAAATACATATTTGCTTCATTTGACCTTCTCGTTCATACAGTGGTTGAGTTGACTGATAGTAAATCAAACATGTTTTTCTCCACTGGAACAAGTACATTAGTAAGAGTAGAATTAACAGTGCATGTGTACTATCGTACAGAAGAGCTCTTTCAATAGATAATTCTTTCCACTTAAAAAATCGTCTTACAGTTTGGTCAGTATGATAACTAATAAATTTAACTTATCATTTCTCTCTTTCTTACAAACTAATTTAACAGTTCTTTTTTACTGATATTCTGATATCTCACAATAATTATTACATAGTTTATGTAACATCAGTATAGATCTAGTTTATCGATAACTTTCTAGACTAGTCCAATTTCTAATTTATCATGAATGAACTAAATTAAATATAGGCTCATTGGTGAATCCACGTTATTTGTTCACCATAAATATGGCTCTAAAATAGATTAAACATTATTCGTAATCCTTAGAAGCAGTTATTTAAAATTATTCTCGACAAAACCAATGTTAATTTGCTTATCGGATATTTGTCTGCATACAAACTTAGTTATCTCAACACGTAATATATCGATGGTTAGAGACTCTGAATGTGACATGGCTTAAAAGCGTTTGCGATCACGCAGGTGCATTTACTCTTTGTACTCTATGAAATTACATTCCCTTATTAATGTAGTTTGGCAACTTCAATTGATGTACCTACTGTACGTACAAAGTTCTACATTGATTAACTGATTCATTGAACATTGGTTGATTCATGCTTTCCATAAAAACCCACGAACTCCATCACTCAACAAAGAATGATGATATGTTACATTCATTTTCATCATATATTGCTTATACTGGCTCACATTAACAAAAATCATACCTATTTTTAAAAATAAAATTCTCTTTCAGTTGATCATTGAACAACTTGATCTGGCTTCATTACAATCAATCAGAGAATTTGCCCGACGAATCATCAACACTTATTCACAACTTCATTTTCTCATTAACAATGCTGGTCTTGCAGTGAGTAAATATGAAGAAACCATAGATGATTTTGAAATCACTGTGGGCGTAAATCATTTTGGACATTTTCTTTTGACAGAATTATTATTACCTTTGATAAAACGTTCAATTCCTGCAAGAATTATCATCGTATCATCCAGAGCACATTATAAAGGTCGTTTAATTAAACCAGATTTACAAATTCCACCGAAAAAATACGAAGAAGCCAAAGCTTATCGTCTTTCTAAATTAGCCAATGTTATGCATGCTGTAGAATTAAGTGAACGTTTGCATAACAGTGGAATTATTGTTGCTAGTGTACATCCAGGTATTGTAAAAACGGAAATTCTTCGAGATGTCAAAGGTTTTGCATTGGTAAGTGTTATAAATAGATTAACAATAATAGACTATTTTAAAATCATCAATTAATCATTGTTATTAGACCACCACCATTAGAAACCTGGAAGCACTGAAAGATGGCCGTTTCGTCCTGGTATGGGACCCACTCATCAGTGGCAGTGCGCATCCACGACTCCCGCACCTGGCACGATTCGAACCTGGGATTTTCGGTATTGTGCTCGAACGCCTAACCATCGGACCACTGGGCCGGCATCCAACAGTGGTCTAACAATGATTGATGGATGATTTCAAATGTGTAAAAAATACAAAACCTCCAAAACTCTGCCCCAAAATAATAGAATAATTTTTTTTCTAATTTTCAATCATTTTTATATTCTGCTTGAAGATAATAGAAAGTTTATGTTAATGGGACACCAGTCAGTCAGTCAGATGCAACGTAGAACTTCGTACGTAAGTACATCAGTTCATGTTGCCATACCACATCAGCACAGAGACGCAAATGTCAAGTCAAATCCAATAGTAGTAGAGGTAGTAAAGGTATTAGGAGTAATCGGAGAGGTTAGGGTTAGAAGATACTATTCAGGAAGTATGATGCAGTGAGAAAAGTTTAGAGAGTCAAAACTAGAGGTGTTGAAGAATTCAGAAGATTAGGATTTGAGAGAACACAAAGAATAAATGCACCGGCGCCATTGAGAACGATTTTGAGCCATGTCATTCAAGGTCTCTAACCATCGATTATTATCATCTCGCGGACCCCAACCAGGTAGTCGACAATTACCGACATGGTTCAGTCCACTTGTCAATGACTTCATGGATTTCTGCCATGTTTTAGTTTGGCCACCCCTAACTTTCTTCCAACCTATTCCTACACTACAAAACAAGGCACGGTGACAGTTCGCCATAGGCTCTCACTCGACCAGTGGTGTTTGAGTAGAGAGCTTGTATAAGGTTAATGTACTTCTTTGGTACACCTTTCAATAACAGACACTGCCACAGAACCTCACGATCCACAGAGTCAAATGCCGCTTTTAGGTACAGGAAGAAAACTATTGTAGGACGCCTAAATGTGTGTCTGTGTTCCAGGACCTATCGTAGTGTGAAGACGTGGTCTATACAGCCACGTCTAGGTCGAAAACCAGCCTGGTTTTCTCGAGTTTGCTCTTCACGCGCTTTCGTTAAGCGCCGAAGGCCAATATTTTAGATACTATATTAGTCAGACTTATTCCCCCGTGATTGTCACAAGAAGACTTTTGTTCCTTCTTATAGATTGGGACAATCAGTGATTGAGACCAGCTAATGGCTAATGGGACGTGGTGTAAACTTGTACAAAATACTATAGTATTTATTGTGATGCAATTCAAACAGTTTTTATATTTGTGAACCAGTTAAAACTTACTTGAAATAACAATAATCAGTATTAGTTAACTATTTTTATGCTGAATTGAGGGCCTACAATATATGTCAGATTGTATTCGATGTAATAATGTGAAGATAGTTTTATACTAGTGAAAATGTCCACAAAAGCCGTAATTATGTTTGTATTTATAAATACACAAACTCTTTAGACGGACAGAATTAGATTACAGAATAAAGTGATCATCCTAGATTTTAAATATCAATGTAGATTGTATAGTATGAGAATCATTTATTGGCTTAGAAATACAATAGACAATTGTTCATTGAACAGAGATCGGGTGTATTACGATTGTGTATATTGTTCAGACTTGAATTATTTAATTGCCAACGCTTCAGCAGTGTAGACGTTTTTGATTCGACATCTCATTAATTCAAATTCTTTCGACTTTGGCGATTATTGTAAAAGGCAGTTCCTTTAAGGAAACACTTCCAGAGTTGATTAGGTGCTCCTGTATTAAACTACTGACAGATAGTTTTAAGTTCCCCTTCTAAAAAGCTATGCTCTGACAATGTTCTGATATGACTTAGCAAGTGTGCTTGCATTGTGTGATCAGTGAAATCTGCTCCAAAAGAACAAACAAACTTATAAACAAATACCAATTTTTCCCAAATCTGGAACTTCTGCTTAACATATTCATGAATAATAGAACTGTCTGAGAAAAAACAATATGAAACTAAGAAGAGCAGAATGTTTTCCTCAAAGATTCTAGAATTTGTTTGTTCACGATTTCGGCAGTCATATCTCTTGTAAATTTAATATTCATAAAAAAACGGCTTTCTTTTAAACTACCAGTAATCTCTCAGGATGCAGTTTCAATGTTAAAATTCTGATGATTGCCACTTAGAGATGAGTATCTGTCGAAGTTGAAGTGGTTCACTGTTTATAATAATGTCATGAGAATAAAATTGCCTGATCATTGAAGATAGAATTAGGTTTCTCTTTCTATTCAATAGGACCAAGTTATGAAAATAGTATAGTCACTATTTGAACTCCATGTACTACATATAGATCTTTGTATACAGAACTCGCTAGCCTTCTTTTCAACAAGATATCAACAAATAAATCCCGCGCCCATCTTCATTTCTAATGTTAATTTAATTGAATGATGATAATTACTTAATTAATCCGAGGTTTCAATAAGGTTCTATATATTCTTCACAAATAATAAAAATAATACCCGTATATTTCATATATATATATATATATATATATATATATATATATATATATGAGATCTCTCGATTTTTGGTTGAAGTACCACATTTTTTTGATGAAAATCGTCGACCATCTGCTTCTGCTATGCCAAGACTATACAGATTCCCTAAATTTCATAAAAAGAATGTCTGTAGTGGGTCAATTTCGACGTGTTCTTAAACTTGGTAATTAGCTCGTCCAGAGAATCGTTACTAACTAGCGTCTGATGGTTTATAAATCAGAAGGTGAACTCGTGTTGAATACATTTATTTGGGACACACCACAAAGCGAGGCGGGGAAGCAGTGAATAAAACGAACGAAGCGACGCGAGTTGGAGAAGGCTAATGAGCCAACTCAAAGAGATAGAGCGTGACTAAGAATATATAGTCAGACAAATATAAGGCGGACATGTGATCAACGAGATAAGCATGAACACACATGAATAAAAGTGACGAATGGTTGACAAGATCAAAAGAAAAGTGAGACAAGTCACATGAGCTCATACAAACCGGACAATAATAAGAACGAATGATACATATAAATTGTTGCAATACAAATTATGGCTTGGTTAAATGAATTAATCGAAAGGGATTAACCGAGCTGAATGTAAACGGACTCGAATATATGTGGAGGTGCTACATGTCCCACCACGTTTTATCCTTGATATAAATAACTTTATATCATCTGATTATTAAATAGTCGAAATGAAATTTTACAACCTGTCCGAAATCACATCAATTCGCACAACAGTCTTGATCCATTTGATTTTACAAATATTTCTTTGTGAAAATATTCTTCATTTTTCATTTTCATTTAGAAATGTATGATTACAATGAGTAAGCCAAGGTTTGTTAATCCATGGAAAGGAACACAAACTACAATGTATGCTATATTATCAGATAATATTATTTCTGGTGGTTTCTATTCAAATTGTTCATTGAAAGAACCATCAAGTACAGTGAAGAATAAAGAGGAAATATTGTGGTTACGGAATAGAACACGTGAACTCCTTAGACTTGATAAATTAGTGACAACTAATGATTAACAAAATTTAAGTTGAATAAAACTGAAAATGTTATTATTTCTGTTTGAATATAAATTTTGATATGTTGTAGTCTTTTATATGCTTCCTATAAAAAATGGATACTTTATTTTAGCTTTCCTACAACTAGTCACTGAGCTATGAAACAATTGAACTTGTTATTTGTCTAAAAAGAGGTATGAGTTTCTGTTATCCAATTGTCTAATGTTGCATTTGTTACATTCGAATTAATATGCGCACACGCAACAACAAATGCAAGAGAAGACGACCAGTATAGCAGCAACCTCTACAGCAGTAGGTCTCAACATACATAAAGGAAAAAGCAAAATTCTCAGATGCAACACAACATGCACCAACCAAATCACTCTTGATGGTAATGCTTTCGAGGATGTTAACACCTTTACATATCTGGGCAGCATCATCGACAATCAAGGTGGATCCGATGAAGATGTGAGGGCGCAGATTGGCAAAGCAAGGGCTGCATTTCTACAACTGAAAAATATCTGGAACTCCAAACAACTGTCAACAAACACCAAAATCACGATTTTCAATACAAATGTCAAGACAGTTCTACTGTATGGAGCGGAAACTTGGAGAACTACGAAAGCCGTCATCCAGAAGATACAAGTGTTTATCAACAGTTGTCTACGCACAATACTTCGGATCCGTTGGCCAAACAAACCAGATTCGAGTGGAGGAGGAAATGAGGAAGAAGCGGTGAAAGTGGATGTGACACACATTACAAAAAGCACCGAACTGTGTCACAAGACAAGCCCTCACATGGAACCCTCAAGGCAAACGAAAAGAGGAAGGGTAAGGAACACATTACGCCGAGAAATAGAGAAAGATATGAGAGGAATGAATAAACATTGGACAGAACTGGAGAGGGAAGCCCAGGACAGAGTTGGTTGGAGAAAACTGGTGGGCGGTCTATGCTCCATTGGGGGTAAGAGACGTAATTAAGTAAGTAAGTAACGGGTCAATTGCTGCTGGATTACATTCTGTTTATGCTCAATATTTTTTGTTGAATAAACAAACCTGAACTGTTGTTTTTTAGCGAAAACATTTATTGTTTCCAGTTATTTTAGACTGTTATGTTAACAAAATTTTGTTCCAGAAATGCTAATCGAAGAGGAACATGTCGATTACCACCATGAATCATAGATGAATCAATTAGTCATAAACCTCACCTACTCTATCCAATAATAAACCTTCTCCTAGTTTAGAAAACAGGCAATACATCAAGATTGATCAGCGGTTTCAGCTGAGCGATTGTGTTCGCCCAATCTAACTCTAAACATTAATAATCTCGACCAAATTTGCATACCAAGATTCAATATCTTTTTCACGAGCAAGTGTAAACCAATTTGATTTCTTCGCGCTCGACTCTTGTTCTTTCGGTACGGTTCCAGGTGTTCGGTAGTGTCCAATGAACGGAGGTCTAGCCACTCGACTGTCTAACTCTAGTCAGTTAGCAGTTGGTTGTGAGTTTGTATGTCTCGGGATTTGAATGAAAACGTTTGTTTCAGAGCAGTAGGGTTTCTGGATACCAGACTGAAGATATGTTAGTTGGAATGTGGAGAGTAGTAAGGATAATGAGGATAAAATTCTAATGATAATATGAATAAAATTACAGAAATAAGTGAATCAATAGATAATTTAGTTTTTGAGAGAGGACCGAAGTATACGCAAGGGGGAGGAAACAATGATAATAGGCGAGATAGGTTAAGTAAGTGATCTGAGGAGATGGCAATCATAACAACCAGCAGGTCTCAAGATATGCATCATGAACAGCTTGCACAAGAGGTAGATGATAGTTCGTATGTGAGTACGTGATTATCAAGTCTCTTCTTAAAGCAGTCCACTGAGGCGGCTGTGGTCACCTCGGCTGGGAGAGCATTCCAAGTTGCGACGACTCGCAATGAGAAAAAGTGTGCACGAACCTGAGTATTTGCTCTCTGATGTGCAATCTTTCGAGGATTGCCTCGGGGGGAGTGGTCTTGATGCATCGTTAAGATGCTCACATTGGGATGGTTTGGCGTGTTTAATACGTGATTAGATTTAGTAAGTTGCTACATCTACAATAATTAATAGGGTGATATCTAAAAGCTACGTTCTATGGCCTTATGATGGACTTCATTTCAGGCATCACCAAGTAACACACTTAAAGGAAATAACTGGAGGTGTGAAACGGTAACTCAAAATAAATTTGAAAAATCGCTGATATTTAATAACGACAACAACAAACAATAGTGGTGTGGTGTTTACATGAAACTTTATGAAATTCTGTTATATCACAAAATTTCAGTGCAGAAGTACAAGATCAAGAAAATCTGATAAGGATCTGATAGTGATACAGCTTAAAATGCACCACACACACACACAAAGCCTTAATTTGTACAAAGAGACGATAGAAATTTTGTTAAGCCTAAAGTTTTAAGTATGGCAGAATCTGACAAAACCATTCTCTGAGTCTCTCTTATAATAATGTTTCCAAGACAGTTCAAGGTAAAATTTAGGCTGACTGAGTGCATTTGTATCATGAACAAGAGTATGGAGTATGGAAATGCAGAGAAGTCCCATGGGATGATTAAAAGTTGCATAAATGGAAAAAAAAATAACAGTCAGTTGCTGATCTTAGATGTAGATCAATTCACTATGTTTATTGCTGAGCAATGGAAGACAGAAATCCGAAGACAGTTTAAAGTAGGGAACTTTTACGCCTTTAATCCATCAGCCTTTCAATATACATGAAAGAATTGTCCCGACCAAAGACCTTGATGTGATAGGCTGCTTACTCATCCTTGAGGCTAACAAATGCATAAGCTCCATTGTGAAGGAATGGCCTTACCGGCCGAGATAAATAAACCGTTCTGTCACTGACCTAAGATCTGATAGGTTAGCAAGCGAAAGGAAAAAGCAATCAAATGACCTGTAAAGTTATTCGACTTACTCCTGATTATATATATATGACTAGCAAGACCACAGTGCACAAATATTTAGAAAAACACCTATGTCCATACTAGAACATCAAGGTCGAAGAATAGTTTAGAAGGATTATATTTAAATTATAGTTATTTTGCAAAGGAAAGTTGTATTTTGTCGCTTATGTTCTGACTCTTGCTTGAACATGCCATGAAAATAAAACTTCCATTATAAAGTCTGTATATTACACTTATGTTAAAATTGTTTGTGCAGCAGCGGTAACAAAAAATCAAATCCAGATTCAATTAGATAAGTTGATTTCATATATAGTAATTCATTCATATAGTCATTAAAAATGAAGTGAAATAGAGAAAAATATTGTAGCCAACCTCCCTATACTACTCATTACCATAGTTTATATAGGTGAAATTAGATAATGCGTAGTGTGACATAGAGACAGGCATTGGATAAAACAGTCAGTGATAGACATAAACAAAGGTAGCCACAAGGTGTATAAGCGTAGAATTAGAAAAAATGAATATAAGATGTATGTGTACCAAAACTCACAAAGCCATAATGAATCATTTAAGTGCATGGTAGTACTAAACATTACAAATATGAAAGTGATTCATGCATTAAGCGAGTGCCTATGATTTTCTAGAATAAAACTAGGTGAAGTAATTCCCCTGCAACAGCGTCCTTTAATAATAATAATAATGATAATAATAATAATAATAATAATAATAATTTATTCTCAAATAGCAAACATGTTACAAGAGACATGCCAATTTACAGGCAAGATCAAAATGTTAAGATTAGCAACATATTTTTTTTAAAACGGTATACAGTTACTGAAACATTTCACGAGATTCATTGGATTCCTATAGATGGAATGTACAATGCGAATAATTGGCGCGAGTTACGAAGGTTGCGTTACGACTATCATCTTATCGACTGCGAAACGATTCATGGTAGAGACAGGTTTGCATACAACAAGAATTGATGCGGTAAATGTACAAAGGTCTGGTTGATATTCATCAGCTAATGATTTCACATGTTCCTCAGTAGGGTAACCAAGTCTACTGCAAATATCCAGACTAATATATGAGGATTGGAATAAGGTTCTGAAAAAAGAGGAATAAAGAAAACGGGACGAGGAGCGGAACAGAAAATATTCTTGTTCAAAGCCGAACAATGGCTTTGCACATACGTTTATGGATAAAACAAAGGTATGTTTACTCAGACTTTTTTATTACCATAACAAAAACTGTACACCTGTTTTATGTAGGTTAATGAAGACAATTCAGTAGTGAGATAACTAATGGGAAGTTAGTCGAATGAATAGAGGAAATTCAGAAGAACCAAGCTGTTAGTAATAATGTTGATTTACAAAATATAATAAAGAGGCTCAGTGATATAATTTTCTGTTTTATTTATTCTTTTTATTTTTAACTCTGTGGCTCAAGAAGTTATGAATGAGCTCTTTTTTAGTATAGCTGTCCAGACCAGCTTGTTGTAGGATTTCTCGGTAGGAAGTAAAGACCAGTGCAAGGTTACAGACATGAGTCGTAGACGAGGTTAACAAGGAAATGTAACGTCAATATCACCCTGCTATATCGTAAGGAGCCGTAAGCAAACAAAATGTTCTGCCACACAGACATGGGTAGACTGAGGTTATCGCCACACCGTCATGAATGCTGGTCAGATACACCACCCTCCCTCCTTTTGTGATGTTAGGCTCTCTTATGTTTAATGGTTGATTGTAGATAATGGTCTCTAGTCTACTTTCAATTTTTTTGTACACCTTATTGGAATTAACTTTCTCTACTAGCTCCATATTACAAGCAATCCAGACAACTTTGCCAGACAATATATCCACGTAGCATATCACACTGATTTTAAGTAAACTAATGGTATAATTTGTAAGATGTGTCAGTTAGTAGGTAGTTCGGAGATAGGAAGGACAGGGAGCTGGAAAGAGGGAAAAGAGAAAAAAAAGAGTTGAAATAATGTTAAAAACTTTGTTCACATTCATCCTTTATTTCTCACTTTATTTCTCATTTCATCATAGGTAGAAT